ACCCAACTTACGATGCCCCAGCAGAGATTTATAATGAGCCAAAACCTTTTGACAGGAGAAGCTTATGATTTAAAGTAGAAGAAAGAAAAGCAAACCCTTAATATCAAAATTATGCTCAGTGGTCATCTTTTCATCACACATTTGTGTAACCCTATTGATGTCAACCCTTTTACAACCTTCATTTACAACCAGTGTAAATGAGAGGAGAATTAGATATGGTGGATACAATGTAGCTGGTTGACATCACAGTAGAATCTGAACTAAAACAAGCATTGACACAGAGCACTACCTCGCCTTCAGTGGAAGGCTCAATGTCCGAGTATCTTGAATCACAAACAATATCCCTCACTCCTCTCGCTGGACCGGAAGGGATATTGGGGAAAGCAGCAGCACAGTCTTGGGCAAAGTATCGAAAGGCTTTCCAGGTCTGACCAGAATCTGTGGAACGCTCCACCAGCATTGCTGCAGGCCGGAAGGTCTGTAAGAAACATTAGTTCAAAAACCTCTTGAAATGGTCTTTTGTAACAAGTTTGAGATGTAGCTTATTTTAAGCTCCAGTGAAGGATGATGAGAATTCCTTGCCCAGGGACTTGTAGGTCTATTAGCTGACTACGCATGCTACTGGATTCTTTGAAAAAGACTGCTAGATATTGGTTGAAGCATATAACAAATAGATCTGTCAACTAAACTTTCAGTGAAAATGAATTGTCAGTGTTCTTCAAAAACATGAACAATATTAAGTATGCAATTTTAGTTCACAGAAATAGGTGCCCTCTGGAAACAACAGTATGTCAGTTAGTAATTAAAGAACATAACATAATATATACTCACACAAAGACCAAATTTAAGCTTAATGAGCATTCTCATTCTTAATGAGTATTTAGGTATTTCCTAAATTTTGAATGCATGATACAGCAACCTTAATGTTCTTTAAATGCAGGCAGTCCTTGACTTACAACGTTTCGAGTTACATATTGCACTTACAACGTTTATAAATTGACACCCTGTTTCAACTTTGACATCAGTTTTGACTTTACAACGCTTAATCCAATATGATACCACGCCAGTGAGCAAGTTTGCTGTGTCATCCATCTACCTGGAGAACATCTGTCCAAACTTCCTTGGACACTTTCTTTAAGAAAGCAGACAAGACTCCAGAAAAACCTGCAGCCAAGACTCCTGAGAAGACTCCAGCCAAGAACCCTTCAAAAAGTCCAACCAAGAGCCCTTCAAAAAGTCCAGCAGTCACCTCAAAGAAGTACTTCCAAATCAATGTGATTGCTATTTACAATATAAATACATTAATGTAGCTATATTACTCATCTATAATTGATCGAGTATAAAATGCTGTGGCATTTTTGGTGAATATAGGGTAGCAGGCCTTGGGTCAGGAACCAGTCCCCCATTTATAACATTGTTTCTCATGAGAAAATTGGTTCCAAGTTACAATGCTTTGACTTAAAACGCGGTTTTCAGGAACCAATCATGTTGTAAGTCCAAGGACTGCCTGTATTGTTAATTTTTTAAAATTTAATTATTGCATATAGTTATGGGAAGGTTCAAGTAAAATATCTATACAGAATACCTTAAATGTCAGTATAAGATGGCTGAACTGGAATAAGGTTTCTAGATCTAGTCTGATGCTGACATGATCGATGCCTGAAAATACATTAAAAACAAGGTGAAGGTCAGCAATGTGAATTGAGTCCTTCCTTCCTTAGTACAGAGACTTTAAAAGTCTGAATATAAACCATACAACACTTTCCCAGGTCCAGATTCAGCTCTCAGGTGTCTGCATTGATTAGAATGGTCACCACATGCATATATGAAGGTCCACTGTTTCTGCAGAGAATTTCAAGCTGCTCTTTCCTGGTGCAGATCTCAATGCTTCTGTCTTTCTTTGGGAGTGATTGCATCCTCCAAAACAGCCACCCTTGTGTGTGCAGAACTGAAATCCTTATGCACCATATTACTATTGCCGGTATTATGATATTACCAGAACCCAGGACTGCCTCCTCCAAGCTGAATGCCTTAATCACTAGGTTACAAAGTCAGGTTCTGTCTTGGACTCTGCCACTCAGGCCCCATGAATCACTTTAGTGGGGCATTGACATGTTAACAGGATGGGTAGAGAGTGTCCCTTTGGTTTAGTTTATAGCTTGATATCTCTAAGAAGTGAAAGAAGTGGATTTGAACCCTTCCTCAGGCTGAAGGTCTAGAACCCAGGTCTTTTCTATCCTTTACACACTTAGCAATTATATAAAAGGTGGGGGCACTATTATCATTTTAAAAAAAGAACATAGTTATTACTGCATTCTGTGAGGGGCCCAATCCTACTGGTACATGTTAGGTGTGCTTGGAATACACCTACCAGATATGAACCCTCAGAAGTCTTAGGGCTAGTCAATGCTGTGGTGGTGGTGGGTCCTTGTGATGACGGTCATCTGAGAACATCCTGTCCACCTGCTTCCAAAGACACATTCTGAACCCAGAGATACATCAGTAAAGCTGCTCTGGGCTTGCCCTTCTATGCCCACTTGCAGGCCCTCAGTGTCTGGTGCGTCTCAGAGCAGGCATTGGGAATGAACCAGGACAGCCTCACTTCCAGATTGAGAATGACCAGGTGCATTAGTAGTGGGTGGGTGGTGCTTGGTCCTGTCCTCACCATGCTGCCACTGCCACACTGCAGACAAGGCCCTAGTCAATACTTGGCCAAGTTTCTGGCCCCCAGTGGGCTTGAGTGGGAGTTGGGTAACACTAACAACTTAAGCCAGGGTATTTCTGAGCATGATCCACAGAAGTGGAACTGAAAGTACCTGCTGTAAGCAACAGGGTTAGGCAATAGGACTGTGCGAAGCTACGGTCCCTGATTTGATTCGGTGGAGATTCGGCACAATTCAGTGGCCGAATCTCTGAATCCAAATCAAATCAGAGGACCCTTTAATCTCTCTGAATCAACTAGGAACCTTCTGAATCGATTTGGAGAGATTCGGAAAGATTCAGCAATTCAGACATAGACACAGCTTTAAATGTTTTTTCTACTTACCTCTAGGTAGCAGGCAGCTTGTGAATGCTGTGATGCTGGGGCATATGGAGTGTCCTAGTGAAGTATGGGGGCTCCCCAGCGCGCATGGCAGCAGACCCGGAACTGGACCAGAAGCACTTCTGGTCCACTGCCAAGCACGTGGAGGGCCCCCACTCCCACCCCACTGCACTCCTGTGGGATGCTCCGTCCACCACAGCATTGCAGCATTCACAAGCTGCGCTGGTACCTTGAGGTATGTAGAAAAAATATTTGTGTCTATGTTCAAATCGCTGATTCTCTGAATCAGCTTCGAATCTTCAGATTCGGATTCAGCCGAATCGAACCAGGGTCAGTGATCTGAATCAATGAATCGAATCACTGCCCCTGATTCGGGCTGAATCTGAATTGAATAGGGCCTCCTTTGCAAACCTCTATTAGGCAACAATTGAGCACCGGGAATGAGCTGGGGTTGTTCAGATCACGAATTTTGAGTCAGGTGTCTAAAGTCCTATTTCAGTTCTGGCATTAGAACTAGAACCATTACTGTGGTTTATACAGCTGCATTAATATAACTTCTGTCACACCAACAGGCTTCATTAAAAGAGGATGCTATGTGAACGCATATTTCCATAATAGGTAGGTAATTAAATCCTGCTTCAGTTCCTTTAGTTCAACTGTTCATTCAAGGTATTGTATTTAGAACTTGTCTATTGATAAATCAGCTCTTTTTTAAAAAAGATTTCAAATTCTGCACTGTTACAAATCACTATACCTTTTGATTCAATACTGTACAATCAGAGAAAAGAAAGTGTGCACAGCACTGTCTCAAGGATCCATAAAATTATGTTTATGAATGATGATTAAAGTCAGCTACACTAAACAAGAAAAAAAGGAATATTTCTTTAAGGTAACCTACCATTTTCTGATTGCCACCATTTTTTTTTCCTATCTGGTTCAAAAGTTGTGATGACATTTTCAATTCTGTGACTGTTCAGCTGCGTGTAGGGGTTATAAGGGTATCTGGAATCACAGAAGAAGCATTTCTGTTCACCCTAGAAAACAATAATAGTAGAAGAGTACACCTCTTGTCAAACCTGCCCCGGACAGGTGTCCTGCCCCACTGGCCATCTTCTTGGCCACCATCCCGGGACTGGAAGTCCTGCCCCCTACCCCCTGACATTTGCCACTGAAAGTTCCACCCCTTGCCATGGAAGCACCCCCTTTGGAGGGGGTCACCATCTTGATCACCATCTTGGAATCAGAAATACCAACCTGTCACATGGTCTCTGACCTGATAGCTCCATCCACATAACCCTGAACCCTCCCCCCCCTTACTGCCATGTTGGCTGACATGTTGATCACCATCTTGGCCAACATATTGGTCCTAGAAGCCCATGCCTCATCACATGATCTTTGATCCCAGTAGTTCCATTGACATGAGCCCAAAACCTGCCCCCTTGCTGCCATGTTGGCCTCCACGTTGGTTGCCACCTTGACTGCCATTTTGGTTCCAGAAGCCTCTGCCCTGTCACATGATCCACTGCCCCAGAAGTTCCACCCACATTACCCTGAAATCTGCCCCCCCTCCTGCCATGTTCTCTGCCAAGCCCCTTCACTGTCACATGGTCCATGATACCAGAAGTTCCATCCACATGACCCTAAAACCCATCTCCCTTGCTGCCAAATTGGTCACCATATTGGTGGCCATGTTGGCTGCTATGTTGGTCCCAGAAGCCCCTGCCCCATCACATGGTCTGTGGCACTGGAAGCTCCTCCTGCTACACCTTTTGCCACAGGGGTTGGTAACCCCTGGCACGCATGCCGAGCATAGCACGCGAGGCCATTTTGCTTGGCATGCCATGGCCAGCCCCGGCTCTGGGTAGCTGCTGCCAGCAACGGAGCCCAGGCTGCTCCCAGCAGGGCTTGCAGTGTCCCAACAGCCTGCTGGGAGCAGCCCGGGCTCCCAGCTGGCAGCAGCTACCCAGAGCTGAGGTGGGCTGCAGCCGGGAGGCTGCAAACAGCTGTGCTAGGCTCTGGAGCTCTGGCATCAGCTCTGTATCGGCGCATGCACGTGTGCCTCAGAGCAGGCAGTGGGGGAGGGGCCTGAGGGAGAGTAACCCTGGTCTCTCTCCTGCTCCCGGCGCAGAGCTGGTGACTGGGCTCTGGAGCCCAGCACAGCTGTTTGTAGCCAGCCTGGGCTCTGGGCAGCTGCAGCAGGCAGTGGGCAGGCTGCAAACAGTTGCACCGGGCTCCCCAGCTCCAGCATCAGCACCATGCATGCAAGTCACCACCAGGTTCAGGTGTTCTGTCCAGGTTTAGGTGTTCAGGTGGGCTATGGGGCTAGTCTCCTTACTTTTCAGTATTGTCTGAGAGAGGCTTTGTGAAGGCTTTTTGTCTCCTAGATGTACCAGGCAAGGAAGCCATGACTATGTGAGTTGGTCCAATGAGAATATAAACTGGATCATTTGGAAATTCTGTACTGAATTCCCATGGGAAATGTTTTAAATGCTGTTATTGTAATAGGTTATGCCATGAATTGTCTGAGCCCTACAGAGAAACATTTAGCCTAGGGCATAGCAATTTTAAATGCTGTTCATTTTGCTGAAGACTTTAATGATGCTCTACATGGGGTGATCAAGGAGAAGGATAAGCCTCTGGTGCTCTATATTAAATACTTAATTGGTATAATAAATTATAAAACCCTACTTAGGAAGAGGGTCTAGCTAGTATATAGCATGACCTATTATAAGGCTAGCAAAATGTTGTACAGATTTTGACGGAAATAAAAAAAGCACTCTCACTGGTGTCATGTACTGCTCATTCAATCTCTTGGGAAGGAGATGGGAGCCAGGGGTGTGTGTCTGTGTATGAGGTGTGATGCACCAACCATGGAAGGATAAGGATAGGCACAATTCTATTGACCTAAAAACATTACAAAAGGTCTAGCTGGGGCAGTGTATTGTCACCTCCTTGCATGATGAGGATATATAGGATCCCCTCAAGAGAGAATGCTGGAACATGTCCGAGGAAAGTTGAAAACCTGTGAAAAATTTTGATGGGCATCTACCCCAATTAATCAGGCCTATTGAACACAACAGGGTGGGATGTTTTCACCTAAAAAAATTACAGTGGGCCTTGCTGGGGTGGTACAGCATCAGGATCAAATGGGTTAGACTCCACCAATACATCACAATGATTCTACAGGGATGAATCAATGCCTGAGACACAGCCTCATGACTCAGAACCACGAGTCTAACCACTGCATGAAACAGTGAGAGACAATATACAGATCAGAATCAAAGGACTAGTCACCACATCCAACCAAACTTGAAATAAAAACTCCCAACAGGGTATAAACCCCACAGTTTGGGTCAGAAAAATCCTTTTCTCTGCATGATGAGTCTGCTTCAGGACAGAACCTGGTATGTATTCATTATCTCTCTCTATATCTATCTCTCTATATCTATATCCCCTTTTTCTGCATGAGTAGGTGTCTTTGGTCTTCGTTATAGAGGGCTTATCTATTGGGAAAACAGCAAATAACTATTTTTTCTCATGAAAAAACTTTCCTCCTGATGACAAATCTGCTTTAGAACAAAGCTAGGTATATATTCATTATTTCTAATACATATGTATATCTACACACTTTTTCTGTTTGATCATGTTATCTTTACTTACTGTGGCTTTTGGTCTTCATTATAGAGGGCCTACTTGGTGAGAAAACAGAGGGCAGGTCTTAAACTCTGACAAGAGGTATACCCCTTATACTGCTAATAAGTAAGATAAATTATTAGTACAGCCTTAATTATGTGGGGGATAAGCATGCGCCTAAGTGTCTATAGGCTTGGAACATCCCATCTTGCCTCTCAAAACCTGCTCTTGCAAACACGTATAAACACATGTAGCAGGGCACTGTGGTGTGCCTGCTCTTTTAAGGGAGCTAGCAGCCTGCAGCTGCAGGGGGCTATAGAGAGGCTCACCTGACAGAAAGAGGGCTCAGGCTGAAGTTATATAAGCCCAGAGTCCCTGGGAGCTACAAGGTGAGGAACTCCTGGCTACCATAGGTCTAGGTTTTTCCAGACCCGCCCTCATTTTGGATCCTCTGATCTATGTCCAGGCAGTTTTTAAAAATATGATCAAGTGTCCAGGATTTTGGTCTGCACAGCATCAAAGTTTTTCAGGGCACTTCCTAGCTTGGCTTAGCAAGAAGGTGCTTGGGGCTGGAGAGAGTGGGGGGAAGGTGATTGGATGCAGGGGGTGCCTTGTGCATGTGCACATGCACACGTAACATGGCCAACATGTAGCCAGGCAGGATGCTGGGAGCAGCCCACTGGATGCTGGATGCAGGTAAGTCTATGGGGAGTGGGGGTTGGAGGGTCAGGGTTTGGGGACTGTTTGTGGGGGCTGTGTGTTTGTGTATGTGTCTGTGGCAGGGGTGTGTGGAGGAGATGGGTGTGTGAAGGGAAAGTGGGTGTCTGCCAGCACTGGAGGTAGGTAGCTGAGTGCTGGGGCTACAGCAGGTCAAGGGAGGCAGAGGGAAGTCCCTGCCCCTCCAGTGGGGGAAGGAGGCAGTGGAGTCCTTTGGGGGCAGTGGGGAGCTGTGTGGCTGGGCCAGTGACACCAGGGCTTGTGCCTTTGCTCAAGGGGTGAGGCAGCTGGGACATGCTGCAGGGCTGCGGGGAGCAGGAGGCTGCAGGTCAGGAGTGAGGGGCACTGGCAGGGCTGGGAGGGCTGTTGGTTCAGAGTGAGGGGCACCAGGGCATGGGGGACTGTGGGTCATGAGTGCGGGGTACTGGCAGCATCAGAGGGCTGTGGGTTAGGAGTGAGGGGCATCAGCAGGGACAGGGGCTGTGGGCTGGGAGAGAGGGGCACCAGCATGGCCCGGTGGGGGAGTAATGAGAGTTGGGTGTGGAGGGGCAGTGGCAGAGCAAGGAGTTTGCAGGTTAGGGGTGAGAGGCAGTAGCAGGGCTTGGGTGGGGCTGTGGTTTGGGAGTGAGGAGCATTGACATGGGCAAGGGCAGGGTAGTGGCATATCAGTGTCCCCCTCTCCCCCCCCCCACACAATCATATACCCACCCTTCCCTGCCCAAGAGCTATCCTCTTTTTTGGAAGTGGAAATATGGTAAACCTACTTGTGGAAGCAGGACAGCAGGGCTCCTGAAGGCCTGGAGTTTATATAAACAATCATGCAGGCCTGGGAACAGAAGAAGGGTACCTAGCCAGAGGAAATCAGGGTTTTACAAGCAAGTGGCCTTTGTTTTATTTTGAACCCACAGAGGGTCCATGTGCCCAGGGAAGGGCTGAGCCATGCCAGAGAGCTCAGAAGCCCAGGAAAGGGACAGCGTGCAGGACCAGAGGCCTGGGGGCCTAGGGAGGGGGTAGTATGAAGGACCTGGGGCCTGGGAGCCCAGGGAGGGGGTGGCATGCAGGACCAGAGGTCCAAGAGTCCAGGAAGGGACTGTGTTGGGGACTAGGGGGTCCAAAAGCCCAAGGAGGGCTGGGGGTATAAGTAAACAACAACACAGAGAGAGAACACCTGTGAGGCCTGGGACATGATGTAGGGGAGGTACGGAACCACGGAAGGAACTCTTAAAGCAACAGATGCCTGTGGGTCCAGAGTGAGGGGTACCAGGGCATGGGGGACTGTGGGTCACGAGTGCAGGGTACCAGGGCATGGGGGACTGTGGGTCATGAGTGCAGGGTACTGGCAGCATCAGAGGGCAGTGGGTTAGGAGTGAGGGGCATCTGCACAGGTACAGACAGGCTGAGAGGACTTGCTAGCCTGTGGGCACAGGACTGTGGCTGACGGGACCCAGGAGAGGCCTGGCAGTAACTGACATAGGCTCAGGCTCACTCAGAGCCCACAGGCACTCTCCCTTTTATATCTTTCAATAAGAGCAAGGTATGGTGAGTGAATGATCAGAAGGGGGCTGCAGCTGACCCTGAGCCAAGCAGGGGCCACATGGCCACCCTGTGGCCACAGGCTGGCCACAACATGCTTACTTGTAAATGTGAGTTGCCTCAATTAATTCAGCAAGAACTGTTCTGGGTA